TAGAAATTCGTCAAGTGTCATGTCCAACAGCATTTGATCGAATCTCTGTCTAGGGCCCTTACTGTTCATCAGATCCCAGTTAATCGACGAGGCATTGAAATCGCCTACAATAATACTGTCTTGTTTCTGACACTCCTCCGGAGTCGGGTGAGTAACAGCTGATCTTTGTCCGCAGGTTGATTTGGAGGCCTGTATACGACGGTGACAGTAAAATTTTCAGCTTTGGGTACCAATAAGTTACACTGCAGCATCTCCAGGTCATGGTCATTCGCACCTTCGTCTGTGAGTATAAAGTCAACTGCACTTCTGATATACAGGGCAACTTCACCACCTCTTCTTATTGTTTGGTCACGTCTTAGCACCTGATAGCCATCTATTCGAATTTCAGAGTCTTGTATAGCTTCGGTTAGCCACGTTTCAGTTAGTGCAATTACATCAGGACGTAGCTCGGCCACAAGTATTTTGAGTTCGTCAAGTTTATTAAGAGGCTTTGCACATTTCCATGATAAAACTTGATTTTGTAGAGATTTTCACGTTGGATTGATTGCCCGGCCGTGTGACTTTCGTTAGGATGACGGGCCTCCTCCACAGAAAGGGCCTTTGTCGTTGGACAATTACCCCATTCCTTATTTCCAGGCCCTTTTCTCCTTGTTCTTTCAAGATGGCTAAGTCCGCCTTTAAGGCCCTCCATTTCATCCTCTCCTTTACCGTGTACTCCTGTTGAAAAAAACCGTCTTGTGGCCGGGGATTCCTCCTGCCGTTCGCTTGAGCTGGAGATCTCTCTGAAGTTTACTCTTCAAAATTAGTTCTAAGGGCCTGAAGAGAGTTGGAGTTGAGAGTTGGCGTTGTCCTTACTGTTTAGTTGGAAATGTTTCAATATCAAAAATTGATCATCCTCACTAATTACATCCTTTAAGCACTTCCTTAAGGCCTTGGTTTCATCATCTATTCTACACTTTGGACTACCATTGGTTGATTCAGGGAGCCCATGGAGAATAATGCACTGTGAGCTATCCACCTCAACTGTGTCTCGAGGAATTTGTTTGATTAGTCCGGCTGATTCCAGCACGGGCCTCAGTGCTATGACCATGAGGATTTGCGAGGCCAGGCAGTTCATTTATATGAGCGGTTGCTGTGCTGGGTACATCCTGTACTTTTGGTCCGAACAATGTGCCTATCGTTAGCGGGGTTTTAAATTTGGAATGTTCCTCATGGGCTGAAATTGCGCGCAGAATATCAGGCTCGCCGACAGTTACAGATGTTTCTGTAGGATCTTGATTATGGTGCTCCTCGTCGATGACTACTTGACCATTAATGTTACTTGAGTAAGTAAAATGTTCAGGTCCCTCAACGTAGTCTCGTAGTCTAGCGGCAACGCTGTTCGCCTGTTGACCCGACGTACAGGGTTCGACTCTCGGGTCATCTTCATTTTCGTTGAATTTCGACTTTTCGACGAGGTCGATTTCCGCAAATTGTTCTGAAAGATTTTGCTTTTGGAGCATGGAAACCTTCACCGTTTTCTTTACTTTGGCCTTTTCTCGGCTTTCTGTCGTCTCCGACATCGTGCCATGTGTTAAAGTATGCAGATATGTCTTCAGATTCTCTACCTCCGTTTTAAGGCTTACCATATCCTTCTGCATGGCCTTGTCTGTTTTAACTACAGTATATGACCTAACTCATGAAAATGCCGATTTTTACGAAAGATTGCTAAAACTAATAAATAAAATATACATGTTTTATACCATATTTTTTTTAATCGAGCACAATCTCTGTATCTGAGCACAAAAATGAATGTATAAAATGTGGAACCCCGGCATAACGGAAATATCCTCGGACGGTGTCGCAGTATAATTTCCATTACATTCCAACTCAAATAATTCACTTTCGTCGAAATGCCATCTCGGAGGAGCAGATAATACTTTATGGTTACGTCAATCAATGCTTCCTCGTGAATGGTCCCAGGTGAATAAGTTCATATCAACAACACTACTCAGGATTAACATATCATTCAGGCCCCTAGGGTATATTCGAGGAAATATGAATGCACGGCTAGAGCAATCGTCTATTATGCATCTATTAGCTTATCAGTTCCAGTAAAAAATGCTACAAGTTTCATAAGTATGATCACTCCTCTACGAAGACCATATTCAACTCATGCAATGTTAAACAACATTATAAAATGAATTTAAGTTTCACATCTATCGAATAAAAACGCAATTTAGTCCGCTGCTTGGCGGACAGTATTGAGGAAGTGGGAAGAAAATCCAGGAACTGGTCCATGAGAGCGGGTATCCGGAGAGATTTTTATCAAAGAATAGGGTCGCTAGACCAGTATAACCCACCAAACTTGGTGTAAATAAGAAAACGCTGTGCTTCAAAGTCCTATTTCAGGAGGATGCGGGAAGTGATATCCTGGGAAGCGCTTTCAGGGAACCGTGTCCAGATCCTGTCCAGCAGTGAGAGTTCAGGTATTAGTTTCAACCACCTCGTTCGTGCATGAAAAAGGCAAGGATAACTTGCAAGCCCACACCAGCGCCATGTACATTTACTCATTTAATTGTTCCTGTAGAACAGGCTATATTGATCGCACGAGTTGGTGCCTATCCCAAAGAATAAGGGCATAACCAGCATTATTCTCGCACACATTGGCAATTTCGGAAAGCGTATGGACCGCAACGAAGCCTTCAGAGTGATGTATAACGTCTCATCAAAGTACTCTAAGTAAGCAGGTCAGAGTTCATTAGCAACAGCAGAAGCAGCCGCTATCAGGCCGAGAAAGTCGGTCTTGTATGCATACAAATGCCTATCCGACCAAGGGCACAAATCTGATTATCTAAAAATGTAATCCCTAGGTAACTAAATCGGACCGAGATTGCAGGATTTTGACTGAGCTCGTTTCTGACAACCACACTCGTCTTAATGACTGTCTTTATTAGCGTGTGGTTTTCGTACCAACATTTTCTTGAAAACGTGTAGAAAATATCATTCTTATTCATTTGACGGGTAATCTCGTAGTTTTTCAAAAATTTGTATTGGTAAAATGTTTGCAATTGTGCACCTGTTTAAGACCGCAACATGCAGCCTCTTATCGTTACATTTATTTACGCTGCTTATAAAGTATATAACATGGGCCAATTTCGTGGCCCACATATAAGTGAAGAGAATACAACGCGCAATTTTCAAATTCGTAATGCAATTGCAAATGCCCGGCGATTTTTAAAATTATATATTCATTCAAAAAGCTCGTTAAATAGAAAAGTAAAATTTTAAGCAGCATTTGTGAGGAAAATATAATTTTCTAATAAATAACAGCAAAACATATTTTTGTGCACGCTTTCTGTAAGATATATTCAAAGTTAGTAAGACTGCTAATGCAAATGTGAAAATTTGCTTACAGTCCAAGTATTCCTATTTTCTGGGCGCATTTTTTTAGGCGGAGCAAACAAACCTCAGTCAAAGGGCGGCATTCGGACTTAACTAAAATATCTTACGATAATGCTGCAAGCGCAAAGCGAACCTGCGACACCCTGGTAACCCCAGTGGTTTTCATGAGGACATGCAAATGAACGATTAAGGTACGTCACCCACTGTGACATCATCCAGTCTGAGTCTTGGCAAGCATTCTTGAATCCAGTAAGTGTAAATGCCCCCATGCAAGTAGTTTCAGCGGAAGTTACTACAAGGCAAATGTCAGCTGAAGTGCATTTGTTTGAGCTTAGTGCGGATGTGGCCAATCAGTGAAGAGAAAAATATTGATCTGCGCAGTGATGCGATCTCCCGAACCTTACCGCATGCGCACGACCAGTGATTCTCAGAATTTTTATGCTGGCTGAAGGCGGTGTAGGTAGGTGGCGCATAGAGGGCAGTGATAAAGGGCTGCCACAGTACCCCTCCTGCCCAAAAGTAACAATTAGTTAAACCGGATAAGGTTGATACGGCCTGTGACAAGAAATGAGAAAAGGAAACCTCGGTACTACAGGTGGCTTTGCGCTAACTTCCATAAATATCAGTGTCAGCGTTGAAGGGTATATTCTAGCGTTAATACAAGGACAAGGAGAAATGAACATAGACATTTCCTGGAATTAAGAGCTTTTGTGGAGGGGGGAGCATACCCTTTACCCCAGGGTTTCCGTCTAGAGATAGGTTCATTTGTTAACATAGTTTCACATTAATTACCGAGTTGTCAGCACTCTATTTTAGATCCGTCTTCACCTTCACGCAACTGACAAGAGATGCCGAATACCAGTGGTAGGACGTGTTCCTTGGGACCACCTCATTTGGTGCCGTCGCAAGTCTACGAAACAACGAAACTATGGTATTTCCTGTGTGATGTCCGCATTAACAGAACTCCTACCTATCAAAATGATTGCTAACTTGATGACACAAGGAGGAGGTTACCCGGGTATTTGCGGATTAACATTCATCAATCAGCTAGGGGGCACTCATCCGCATCTGACCTAATGCTAACTCTCGAACGTCGCAGCAGCTGCACAGCGGCTAGTAATACAGGCAGGTGAACATTGTCAACGAAAAGGGAGAACGGAATGACCATTTAATCAACCAGTCACAACCAACCCCAGGTGGAACATCACCCGAGGCTCGTATCCCGCAGCTTTTGATCCGAAAGCGAACGCTCTAACCACTGAGTCACGGGATAGCTGTCTTACCTGCTAAAATCGGTAATAGTGATACTGGCGGATAAATGCTAACCGACCCCGGTGGTGCACACCTTAGGGTTGGTTATGGCTAGCTAATGACGGCTAACAAGCCAGAAGTGGCCATTCCAGTCTCCACGGTTCACGAACCGAATGCAGCAGGCAAATTTGCGTTTAAAAAATATTTAATGCTATAGAGATTGTTCTTCGGTGATTAACATGTCTATTTTAAGCCGCACCTTGTGTGTATCCAGTTGATTACCAAGACTGATCTCAGTGACTTTTTCTTTCAGATGTGGGTTTGCATTATTAGCGCAAATATGAATCCCATTGATGATAAGTGCTGCCTAAGGCAAAGCCTCGATCTTATGCGGAGACCAACTGCCTCGATCTGGTGTCTTCCAACTTCTACTACTCGAATCCTGGCCCGATGTTTATGCAGAATTATGTTTATCCATGGCCTGAGACACTGTACGTCCGCTCTCCAAATTCTCTCCAAGCTGCCATTAGTTCTTATAAATTACACTCAATCCCAAATAAAAAATAAAGCCAATGTTGTAAACTGATTAAATCTGTAATGCTATTTTAATTGCGCGACCCTTTTCAATAACTCCAATTCCACATTTTTGCCCTGGGCTTCCAGTGGAACCTATACTCCACAGATAGGGCATTTCAATTTTCCCAGTTTACTTTCAGTTTACCCTTATGTGCCTCAACCTAATGTCACTTGATTGTATTCCGGTATTAAAGGCTTAGGAGGGCCATAACCTGTTGCTTCCGAAGTACTTTCCTGCTGCTCAGATTACCGACACACTGAAAAGTGAAATATGGACCACCAGGTTTATTCAGTTTATAGTCGGTTAAAAGAAAGAAGCAATAGAGATTTGTAAATTTAAGAATAAAAGCGGAAGGGGCCGTTGGCCTCTCGCATTCCAGAACTGGCTCAGTAATTGAGTGGATTCGGCGGTCTGGTATGATCGACTTCATTGCCTATAAACAAAACAAGCTAACCGATATTAAGAAAAGAACAACTTCAGATACGTTTTAGTGAAACGTTAATGTTAGTAGGACATCTGCGCATTCCAAATTAGGAGTTCAACATGTTCGGCATCATGCTCACTGCTAAAAAACCAAGTTCATTGTGCAATGCTTAAAAAAAAACAAATGAAATCCAGGAACATGGCGCAGTTTGTGCAGGTAGCAATGCAGAATGGTTGGTTTTTTATACTGTCATGTAGAAGCTGTCTGCTCTGCTCATTTATGGCTCTAATTTATTTTCCGTATTTTATGTCTATGTCAAACATACAAAAAGGTTATCATGACGGCAAGTTGTCCCATACGCATGTTCTGGCTGGTTTTGAGAAGATGCGTGTCAAAATAATTTGTGTTTTAAACATTCGCGCAATCATTTTCATTGAAGTTCATCACATAAGGCCTTAAAATTTGATTTGAATGGTACAGGTATGCATAATAAGGAGTAAAGTTGCTGACTGGTATATATATATAGTCATATAGTACAAGATGCAAAAATATACTAATTATTCATAGTTGTCTAAAATTGTGCAAACAGCAAAATTTATTCGATTCATTAATTTCAAGAAAGCTAATCAGTTGCTGCCTCTCGTTGCGTAACGTGAATAACGTAAGAGGAAATGCAAATTGAATTCAAGACAGCTAGGTCAGAGGAAATGGCCAAGAGGCAATCAATAAAGAAAGAAAGTTAAAACGCTGTAGGTAGCAAAGACTGAGGAAAAACGTCTAAGGCAAATATTTGGGGAGGGAAATGAGTAAACAGGGAGCTGGTTTTACCACGGCAGACTTAGATTCACCACATGCTCCAGTTGTTTACATAGGTCGGGTTTAAACCGCCGTATGT